ATATGGAGAAATTTGCGCCATCGCATGCACCCCTATAGGCTTTGCACTGTATTATAGGCTTTGAATTATAGGCTTTGCACTGTAACACGTCACATGAGCAGTGAAACATTTCCGTTTCCAACCGTAAACGCCCCGTTTCAAACGTAAACAAACGCGCGAAAATGTTTGCGGTTTGTGCTTGGATGCAAATTGCTGTATCATTGAACAAACATTTTGAACTAAACAAGACTTAAAAACGTACAAGGATTTCGAACTTAATTAAAATAATTAAGACCACAAATCTCAAAATTTCTTAGGGCGCTTTCCATTTAATGGCCTGACCTGTCCGACCCAAATTCTTTTTTCTGTATCAATGGAAAGACCTGGTCTATGTTTCTCAAATATCTAGCGAAAATGGACCTCATTCTAATGTTATCTAAATTTTCCGGTCAGATAAGTCCGAAGCCTAAATGTTTTGTGTTCCATTAAAAAATTTTACCGTTCTGACCGGTCTGGCCGGGCTAATGGAAAGCGCCCTTAGGGTCTTCGCCCATAACACCAAACATCAATGCCAGATTCTGTGATGTCTTATTAGAATAATTGCCGATTGCCCCCAGTCCACAGATATATTTGGCAATGCATGCACGGAGTTCCTTGTTTAAGGTTTGATAGGAGTTACGTGCCACCGGAGCTTCCATCACCCCATTATAGTTTGTGTCCCCACAACAATGTGTTGTAAATGGCCAAAGCAATATCCTTTCATCAGACAGCAACATTACTGAGAAGTGGAGAAGGGGGGGGGGATGTTTATGTTATTCACCGTTTATTTCTATAATTTATTCAAGATTAAATTTATTGTAGACTGATTTGAATTTGTTTAATTATTCAAAAATGGTAAGAAATTAGTTTAATTAATCTGAAGTGTTTGTCTTACTCGGCTAATTTAAAAAACGTATCCTAAATTCAAACTTTTGAATCTCGATCGCAAGTTAAAATTTAAATTTGGAGTATGTGAAATTTAGGCTACCCTTTCTTAATATATAGCGAAAGATATACTTGCATGAGTGTGATAGCCGTTCTAAATTTGGAGTTATACCTATTCAAAAAAGACAATACTCGTGGTGTATTTTTTTATTTTTCACGATTTAATTAATAAGATAAAACAATAAAAGCTTTCAAAATTTATGAGGCAGCTGATCATATGTCTTCTTAGTCTCCGTTCATTTAATAATAGAGCATGTCAGAATATGAATCTTTCAAAATTGGCTATATTGATGTACAACTTTCTGTTAGTTATAAATCTGCGTATATTGTCTTGAGTATCAGAATTATGTTGTAACGTCGTCAGGACTGGAAAATATGTCAAATATAGAAAGCATAACGATGCAAACACAGATAGTTTTAAATGGATCATCGAACGACGCATCCACGCACAAGACGTATTCAACTGTACGGTTTGCCATCTCTATAGTGATTATATTAGTTTCGTTTGCTGGGAACACATTAGTAGTCCATGCTATTTATCGTTATCGTCGGCTTCGAACCTGCGCCAACTTAATCATATTAAATTTGAGTGTTGCAGACGTACTTTTTACACTTATAGTAATTCCAATAGACGCATATTACTGGTCGCAAAACAAAGAGTTTTTTGCTACCTCTGCTTGCTTCATCACCGGCGTTTCGGCATATTTATTCTGCTTAGTCTCGATTTACACACTGGTTTTTGTGAGCATTGAGAGATACATGGCAACAAATTTTCCTCTGAAACACAGGCAGCTGTTCACCACGAAATTAGTTCAAATTGGCGTCTCGGTTATTTGGATATGGTCTGGCGTGCTGTGTGCTTTGCCTTTCGCCTTATCGAGATACATATATGTTGAAAAGTACTTCCATTGTATGGTTGACTGGTCTGCAAATGGAACATGCACGATCATATTTTTTATATTCGCCTACTCTTTGCCACTTCTGACCATAATTTACTGTAATATTTATATTTTTCGAGCAGCACTGAATGGCCAGAGAAGTCGAACAGCTAGACATTCAAATTCTCGGAACGACGAGACTTCCAAACATAATCTGAGGTTCCTCCGGGAGTACAAGGCATCCTTGTTTATCGTCGTCATTGTGGCGACGTTTATAATTTGTTGGACACCATACGCTATAGGTGGACTTGTTCTTTTTGTCGATCGCCACAATTTACCAAGACGATTTATGTCAGCGGCAGTCTTGCTCACTGTAGCTAACCCATCCTTCAATCCAGTCGTTTATGGAGTCATGAATAAGAACTTCCGCGACGCTTTTAAAAACATACTTTGTTCCCGAAATTTTCGAGTACAGCCTTCATAAATTTTGTCTATGAGGCGATTGCGCACACCTGAAACTCATGTACTTTTGTACTATTCGTTTTGAAATGAAATAGTGAGTAACTTTAACTGGACTTCTTCGGCATGTCGCTCGACTAAACAATGTTTAAGGATTTCGTAGATGGAAATCTCGAGTGCAAATTTTATATATTTATTAAGACCGAGGAGCATGTGCGAGTAACGCAAATATAGTAAACTACGCCTTTGATAATGGCTTCCGCACGCATCATTTTGCAAAGTCGACATGTATTGGCTTTATTGCATGTGTGTATAGTTCTTAGAACTAAACAGAACCTTTGACACGGCAGGTCAGAAAATGTATAACTCGAAGAGTTACCGACTATATATACGAAAATTGAACGTGCTTGTATCCGGTGCTGAGAGCGAGCGTGTGGAGGAGGAGTATTTGCCCAATCTAAGCTGTGAAATAGACAAACAATATACGTAGTAAATTAATAATAAAGCCAAAAATAAAAGCGGACTTAAAAAGGTCGTTCAAGAATTCTGGACATGAATGTGCAGCTTTGCGTTGTTAGTACGTTCGCTGCGGGCTTACGCCCGGAATGGAACCTCCTCAGGGCCGTAGCGAGAGGGGTATTGGGTGGGGCGGCGTTAACCCCCTTTTTCCTACCATCATAATTCTGTCAAAACTCCCCAAAGTCCAGGAAATTGCTCTAAGGCGGAAAGTACGAAATTTTTATTTCAGTTATTTCATTTGGAAAATAACTTTACAAAAGAAGAGAGCGTTCAGAGTCCATATCGTTTCGTTTCAAACGGCAATTTAATACCGTCTTCTGTCGCTCTCTCAGCGAAGCCTTGTAAATCGCAAAGTGTTTCGAACAGGCTTACATGCAACCGCATCTCAACATCAACCAAAAGATAATTTTCTTGAGGAACATATAACGTATCAAGTCTGTTTGAAATTAATGAAACTCAAGTAAAGGTTACTATAGTTTACCCCAGTCGTAATGTTGCTATTCCAACACCTCACGACGAGCAATCCCCATTGGCATAACGGCAAAAACATCTCTTCCTTCAAGTAAACAATAAACAATAAACAGTCTGTTCTTGTTCCATTTATAATCGAAAAAAGTGATCAATTTTCCAATTTTGAGCTTATCGAGGGCCTCTGTGATGAATCACTGACCTAAATATAGAATCCAACAGCAAACAGCCAATCAGAATGCCGCGTTCGTGGACGAACGCGGAAAGTACAAAATACCGGGCCTTGCCCTTGCTTGCAGGCCCACTATCAGTTCCCTTGGGCCTGCACGCGGGCTAGCAAGAACCCCTCGCCTATATTTTCCAAACATGCATTGTTTCAACATGAAGTATATATTTGTAATTACGCCAACACTGAGCGCAGGCTCGCGTTGTCATGTCATGTTATTCATGGCAACACGATAAATTGTGTTTTTTTTAATTTTTTGTGCAAACCGGGAAAAATAGATGAAATATGAATACTTTTAAATACAGAAATATCAATTTCTAAAATATATGAAGTTAGTAAATCCCCCCCCCCCCCTTCACGGAAAACTGACGAATTTTGACCTCAAAGAGGGCTAAAAACAGTATTTTCGAGTGCAAATGGGGGGGGGACGTCGGAAATTTGAAAGTTTTGTCGGCAATTTAGGAGGATTGGTGCCCCCCACCCTCCACCGGAAAAAGTGAATTTCCGCCACTGAACAGTCCTTTTTTGAGATCAGTGAGATGACCACCCACCGACCCACGCGCAGTAACCCACGCCCGCAATCATTGATGAACTTTAGACTTCGCTTTCGTTTCCCCGGGTGTAAATAGCCAGGCGGAATTAATACTTTCGCCCCCGGGCTTACACCCGGAACGGCGCTCCGCGCCGTTGGCTCGGGGATTAGTTGAACGAACGTTACAAAACGAAATGCAAAGTCTTTTCTTGGACCACTATTATTTTTATTGTATACTAATGATTTACATACTTGCTCCAAAACTGTTTGATAATAATAATAATAATAATAATAAATATTTTTAAACAGCGGAAATCTTTATTAATAACATGATAATTTTTTACAAATATCACATTAGACTTTCAATTAGATCAGGAAAATAGAGAAACAGTTCACTATATCTCTACACTTCACTTGATAGTAGCTAAAAAAATTCAGCAAGCTTGGGTTATTCCACGGCTTGTTTCTTCTGCAGTGAATGTAGAATATTGCTCTCAGAGCTACCTCCATACATTTTAAAATAATACCTTCATCATTCATTTCAAGTGTTCGTAATAATCTAGCTATGAAATCTGTCATTATCTTTCGACAAATTTCACTAATTAAGGTAACTTACAATTGACTATTTGAATCACAACTATGAACTAATAAAAATGACAAGACAGAATACATAAAAATATATAAATATACAAGACAGTCAGATATTTCAAATAGTTAACAAGTCTGGACATTCCGTTCCTTATTTCGACAACAGAAAATGTAGTAAGTGCTTCGAATGGCAATAGTCATCATTTTCATAACACAGTACGTTCTGTAGTTTTTGTCGAGAACAACATTTCCTAACATTTCTAAGAATGTAGATAGACCATTCTTGCGCAAAAATACCTAGGGAGCTCATGGAAAGATTTACAAAGTTTACTTCTCTATATTTGACTTTTTTCCGTTTAACGTTGTTCTAGAGGTTTGTATCATAGCCAACAGTGAGCTCGACTACATAAAGAGAGCCATTTGATAATGATAGCAACAAATCCGGGCGATACGCATCACCAGTTACTATTGACGGACGTTTGAATCCAGGCACATCAGCGCAGACGGAAGAACCGTTCACAGTTTGCAAGGTATTGGCAAGAAAGTTCAGGATTGAATTGTGCCTTCGATGTAAATCGGTCGAGATAACACTGACATCCAGCGACCACGTGCAGTAATGATTCTGTACTTGAAGACAATCCCCATATTCTGAGGGTCTTGCGTGTCGGAAGAGAGTTATTGATATAGCGCATAGTAAAGTTATCAATATTTTTCGGAAGTCTTGATTGAGCAGTATAGTGAACAAGGAGAACTTTGTTACATTAGAGAAAAAGGATCCGACAAGGAGAACTTTGTTGCATTAGAGAAAAAGGATCCCTGACAAGTTAATTGGTTTTGGAGTTTATCTTCATGTTCAGAGCGAAAACCTTTAAGAACTTCTTTGGTTGAGGTATAAAAGTCGTATTGGATATTTGTACGAGTATTAGTGGATTTCCACAATTCGATCGTTAATAATTGATTGATTAGGAGAAAGTTTTAATGCTTTTCAAAGAACAGTTTGGCATTGGATCAATTTTACCGATGGAGAATAAATAATTTGACCAAATTTGTTACAAGTTAGAAAAACAGCACTTAGTGTTCTTGATATTGGAATTTCAAGCCATTTACGGATGTATTGGTTGACAATGGGATCAATATTTTCAATAACCCATGTTTTAGAAAGTGTTGCGATAGTGAAATACCAAGATATTTTGGCTAAGATATAACAACTGTACACGAGAAGCTTATTTCTTGGATGGAGTCGCTTCGAGTAAATATCGGTCATTAGTTCATTAACGAGAGTGGTTAGTTCAGTTTTATGGTTATTATTCGACATGTTAAAACCAAAGTAACATCCTACATATTGAAATGCTTCCCCAATCTTTATTATTGGTATCAGATTATTGCTGATGATAAGAAGTATTGTGTTGATTTTGTGATAGCTTTCTTGATGCAAAAGGTACTACATTTATCGACTCTGATAATCATATTAGACCATTGGCACCAGATGGAAAAACGATTTAAAAGATGCTGGTTTTCAGATTCTTGGCCAGTGATTAGGGCTGCGTCATCAGCGAACTGGAACCAGTTGATAGGATTTAATAGCTTGAAGGAGAAGACAAACTGGCGGTACTTTTCAGCTTCAATATTTTGGATGAAAGTATTGAAACACATATTAAAAAGAAGAGGACTGAGGCAGTCTCCTTGCAATACGACACGGCCAACAGATATAAAAGGGGTGCGGAATTAGGAGGTAATTATTCAAGTTTGGAAATCAGTGTATAAACTATTTATCACGAATTTTATGTGATCAGGGATGCAGTGGTAGTCGAGTACTGATTGGATGAGATTGTGATGGACTTCGCCGAATGCATTCTTCAGATCAAGTAAGGTGATGACAATTGAGCGTTGCCTGATCCGGGCATTTTTAAAGATGTCAGTGTTCTACTGTGCCAAATAGGTTAGGGGTGAAGTCCTTTTGTATGCCGTGTTCGATAAAGTTACTGGATGCGGGGAAGAAATATATTGCGTTTCTAAGACAATGGTGTGGAATGTTCGCTATAAACGCGTAAGTTAAAACTGTACTACAATTATCTCGATCATTTTTACAGTGTAAATTATTAATAAGTAATAGCATGGTTTCTCGTGAAATTTGGATAAACATGCACTCGTGAGTTTTTCAAAGACATCAAATAGCACTCGTTCTTCGGACTCGTCCTATTTTGAGGTCTTTGAAAAATTTACTCGTGCATGTTATATCCCATTTCCACTTGAAACCATGCTATTACCTATACTAATATAAACATTTCTGGAAAATGTATATTATTTAGAAGAACAAAAACGCGCCGATTAAACATTAATCACACAGGTGTGCCGATTAAAAATTAATCGGCACAGATACGTGCATTAAACACAAAATCTCAAGCAAAATATAATGTAAACAACTTGTAAATTTATATTTTCTGAGCTCTTATTTTGCAAAGAGCTCTTTAAGTAGGTTGAAATATTAAAGATAAAGAATCGAAGTCTAGATTATTGCCAGTCTTTCACTAGGTGTGAATTGAAAATTAATGTCAGATATTACTGTCAAAATTGACAAAGGTGCATATGGCCGGGCTCGCTTGAATATGTTAGTATATTGCTCGTGTAAAATTGACTATAAAATGATATTAATAGGAAATTACACTTATTCTCGAAGTATTAATGAAAAACCACACTTGCTCATGCGTCTGGCAAAATATTATAATGTACGATTATTGTGCGATCTTTCATCAATACTTGATCTCGAAAATGTGCGATTTTTCATTAATACTTGATCCCGAAACGTGTAATTTCCTGTACTAAGTCATCCTCGCTTGTAAAGCAGTTTAAAATGAAAAATTTTCCTAATTATAATGCTTGCAAATGCCTGTCGTGACAAACCTTAGACTATTATGAACTCGTAAACATATGTCCCGCTCGTTTTCAATTTCTGACCGGCGCAGGTCTCGTATACGTATAGGCCCTCGCTCTTCCTATTAGCAGCATCTTTTGGTAACTAAGATAAGACAGTCCATCAACAAACTCGCTGTTATTCCAATTATATACATAATTTACAACTACTCATGACCGCAAAAAGCTCTTTAATTGATGAATCGTAACGATAATCCGTCGGGCCGGTATTATTTTTAAACGTTTTGCACGGGTGTAGATAAAAGGCGGACGGATAAAACGCGGACTGCGGACAGCGGACGACGGACGGCAGACGGCGTACGGCGGACGACGGGCAGCGTACGGCGGACGGTGGACGGGGGGAGCATTTTATAAATACATGATTACTATACCGCAAGTAATTATAATACCCTAAATTAACTGAGTATACCAGCCTTAGATCTGTGAACTATGAATATATTTTCACCCGCTCGAATTTTTAGCCATGGAATTTTTTAATCAGCATTCAATGCGTATACGTATGTATGATAGGAGGCCCTGTTCGCCTTCTTTTACGTGAAACTTTTGGAAATATTGCCAAAAAAGCGCCTTTGTTTTGGTGCTTCTGTATATAACTGTCCTAACACTGCCATTGATTTAAAATATTATTAGGCGGGGCTCTTACATGACATTCACTTACTGTCATTTTTATACTTTAAATTGTACTGACTTATAACCCCCGTTTTACTTAATAAAAGGCTAACACGTAACCAAGGTCCATTTATGTGACTGATGCGAGTGCTTACACATTACTATTCAATACAATACAATTTTATTTAAACACGGTAAAAATCTTCAGTTTACAGATGGTAAGTATGATAAATTAAATAAATATAAAAAATACCATTAACTGGTTTACAAGATTGCCGTGTGGAAGTCAGGCAAATTACTAGTTACTATTAATAATATTCCGCTATTGCTTTCTAAAATACATGGTTGTAGTTTTCTTGAGGATGACTATTTCAAAGAACTGTTCCACTATAGCAAAAGCTTCGTTTTAGGTAATTCGTTCGTGGCTTTGGCAAATTTAACCGTATTTCGGAATTGCTTATATTCCACTGTATATAGATGTAGAACGACATTATAACCTTATATCGAGCAGCATGCATTAGGAGGTTTAAAATGCAAATCGGCCATTTCTACGTGTGAACCCCGATCTTAGGTTTATAATTAAAACGGGTACCGTATTTCTATTATAAAACAGCAAGTCAGCGCTATTTAAAATACGAAAATGTCAGCAAGTGAATGTCATTTAATTCTGCCTAACAATAGCTCCAAAACTGAGGTGCTTTTTACAATATTTCCAAAAGTTTCCCGAGAAAGACGCCGTATAGCTATCAAACATACGTATTTAATCATTTGAATGCTGATTAAAAAATCCATTGCTAAAAATTCGAACGTGTGAAAACATATTCATTTCACATATCTAAGGCTGGTATACTTTAATGTAGGGTATTATAATTAGTTGCGGTAGTAATCATGTGTTTATAAATTGCTCCGCCGTCTGTCGTCCACCGTCCGTCGTCCGCCGTCGGCCGTCTGTCCGCCTTTCATCTACACCAGTTTTGCACCTATGCCGAATTAATGCGAATCTTCACTTACGTTAAAAAAACACATTATATAAACAGCTCCTACAAACCCAATAATCCTGTTTACCTGTCTCGTATTGTTATTTCCAAATTTTCTTTGGCTAAGAATATTTGGCGAAAGTGGTATTTATTTTACATGCAGCTGTCATAATAATGATGTTGATGCCGCACAACTAATGTCCACATAAATTGATAATTATATCTCCACTTGCATGACATTGAGTATTCACTAACAATAAATAATTCCTTGTATAGAGCCTGACCGCAACCGGTCAATTTTTATTCCTGTTCAAAGTGTTCTCGTCATAATGGTGTGGATCGATCACCTTATACTTACTTGGGCGCCACGGTAGTGCGAAAGTGGTCGATATACGAACATTTATATACATTTCTGGCAAGCGTTGTTCGCCATAAATTATTTTACCCAAGCCAAGGCCAAGCTGTATGAAATTTGGTCATACAGGATTTGCAACCGCATTGGAGACAGTTACTAATTAGGAGGTTCGCCCGTGCTTTGGTACTCAAAGAGTAAATATATAATGTTCAATTTCACTATATTGCCAAATACAACATTCGACAACTCGAAAACGTCATATTCTATCAAGTCAACGAGTCGTTCTGTGATGTCAATATTCTTTATAGCAACATCTCTTGGGGGAAATACGCTCGTATTGCTGGCCATTTATCGCTTTCGACGTCTGCGCACAATTTCAAACATGATCATAGCAAATCTCAGCCTAGCAGACGTGCTGTTTTCCGTTTTCGTCGCTCCGATAAACGCTTTCTACTGGTCACAAGAAGAATTGCTGCCAAGTGTGGTCCCGTGCCATGTTTCTGGTTTAGGCGCAATATTATTCTGTTTCGCCTCTATTTATACATTGGTATTTGTGAGTATCGAACGATTTTTAGCAACAAATTACCCTCTCAAACATAGAAATTCGTTCGGTGTAAAGACAGTGAAATATGGCTTAGCCGTTATTTGGATCTCGAGTGGAGCACTATGCGTTCTTCCTTTTGGAATTTCAAAATATACATACATGAAAAGCTTTTTTCACTGTATTCCAGACTGGGGTAATAGCCTATCGTACACATTGACTGTTCTCTTTTCTGCGAACGTGATACCCCTTGCGATTTTATTATACTACAATATGCGTGTTCTAAAAGTAATTCGCAAAAGAAAGCAAATTCAAACAAAGAAAGAAACTCGTGAATCTCGAAAGACACAAAACTCCGACAATCAAAGAGAAAAAATAGTGTCCTTAATTATTATTGCAGTAATCAGTGTATTTGTCGTTTGTTGGACTCCGTATTGCATAGCAATGATGTGTTTAGCAGTTGACGGCTGCAGACTCCCGAAAGAGTTTATGTCAGCAGCAGTAGTATTAACAATTTCAAACGGAAGTTTTAATCCACTCATCTATGGTGTTATGAATAGAAATTTTCGTGCAGCGTTTGCTGCTATACTGGGTTTCGCGAAACATACACAAGAAAGGACCCGGGTTCATGATGTTCGTGTTGATAGTAAAAATGCATCCGTTCTTTGAGCAACACCCTTCACCAAAACAACTTGCAGGTGGTACAACAATATTGTACAAATGTTCGCTTAGGACATTTTGACATACTGTATATGCAGCTATACGATTGAGAATTTGTCACGATTAAAGTGTGTTATGAGTATTACTTGTGTCACTGCGAATGACGTGCAGGTTTGGTAGCAAATGAACTGTTTACATTAATAAGTCAATATTATTACTAGGACAGCTAGGCTTATCCAAGTATTTCAGCAGTAAGTAAATTATGTACATAATGTAAAATTGTAAAGCTAAAGAAATATTTGATAGACTTGTCGGGGGAATCGGGGGAAAAAATGCCCAATTTATGTAAGGCCCGTGCAGACATACCGAATGCGTTCATATATATTTAAGAAATAGAAAAACGAATCGAGTGCATGCGGTTATGCCGTGATAATGCAGGCGGGGAATACTGGGAGAATACGAGAGAAGCGTGTAAATCACGAGACGTAGCCGAGTGCTTTACACGCTTCTCGAGTGTTCTTCCAACATTCCCCGAGTGAATTAGAACACCATTAACGCACGAGACGAGTTTTTCTATTTCTTTTAATTTATAATATAAGAGGAAGATATTACACAGTAAACAATTATACTCAAAAGACCAACATTGAAATTCTCCTAACATGTACTTGGTGACGTCACACGCATGCTTTTACTGTCGCTTGAATTACAAAGCGAGCAAAGGAGCAAAAACAATACAAAATGAGACTACGACGTAGATTCAGATAACTTGACGTGCCTGACCTTACTTAATGAACAACTATCCGTATGACATTTTTTTAAGAGTGGAGTATTGAAGCAGTTCCAATATGTAAATATTAAATATTAAATTCTCATTTGCATGACAGTTTGAAGACAGCTGCTTTTAGTATTTCTTAATATATTTCCTAAAATTATGTATATTAAAAATCAATATTATTTTGATTTTCATTAATATTGATAAGTTTTTATGTATATTTTTTATGATATAAAATGAAAGTTTTCTCCTTATCTTATTACCGAGAGAACAATGATAGAACTTGACATAACAGAACGCTCGCAGAACTTTTATTGTTCGATGCTGAATTAACAATTAATTAAACCAGTGTGTTGACATCAATTCAAATTCACATTCAGTGTTCGAAACCAATGCAGCCGCGGAGGGCGGTCTGGAAATTATGAAATATAATTTCTCCTTAACGTATTACAAAGTGAACAATATTATATATACATAATTTTATATATTATACATTGCGTATTGTAGGTTGTGTATAAAATACATAAAAATGTTGTTTCTAATACTGTAAAACATTGTATTCTAAATACATTGTATTCTAAGTGCTATTGCAGAAGAACGAATGGCTGCAAAAACACGGAGGTGGTGGGGGGGTGGGGACTCAAACGAAATCCCTAATTTGTTTTAAGATGTAAATATATATAAAGATAAAAATTGGTACTTTTCAGGAGGCGTAATATCGTCGAAAAAGATAAAAAACCCATATAGACATATATGGAAAATTATAAATAATTTATTTTGACTTTAACATGCGCTTCCATTTATTTTTTCGAGTTCCTTGAAGACAAATTTTGGGGAGAAATCACAATTGTAATATAAGTAATTTTATTGTAAATAACTGTTTTAAAAATTTAACTTTTAATTTCTATTTACAACTCCTTTCAATAATTTATACCGAGTTCATGCATGCATGCGACAGCGAAATTACTGGTATTTACGCAAAAACGTACACCTTATACATTGGCATAATTTTAGTTGGCAATTATATACGAGAATTTGTGGTTAGAGCTCGAGAACTGTCTCTTTTGTATGTCAGTTGGTTAGAGTGTTGCGCTAGAATCGCGTCGATTTTAATTTTAATTGCTTCGATCGTAGATCAGATCTTTGCCCGTTGAGTTACATAGTAAGTAGTAGTGGCTGAAATCACATCTTTGCTTAGGATCCACGTTGAGGTATTGGATGACAAGTCAATATTATGGTTAGTTAACTAATATGTCGGTCTGAAAATAATTCAAATACGATTATTTTCAATCATAAATGCTTTGGTAAATGCACGTGAATATTGTGCAATGGCAATTAGACAATAGCGAATATGTAGAAAGCCATGTCTGTTTGAGAACCAGCCAAGGGAGTTGATGGTGCTTGATTCGTGGTTTATCCTCTGACCCTCGCAATCCGACAAAACGTGCAGTTATATACATACACAATGTGCTGTACGGATCAGAGACACCAGGGAGAAATTCAAGATGGCGTGACTGCATGATTTATACCTTAAATTGTAAATTGCAAGATTGAATAAAACCGTTCAGTTTGAGTAAATTATATTGGCGACGAGGAATACAAATATTGCAACAACATTTTACTCTAGCTCTGGAAACATTATAGCCTAATTGACAAGGGACACGATACACGTTGGATTAGTGTTTTCATCACGTTTGAAATTGAGAAATTGAAATCGGAAAATCGATAACATTTTAGGAATAATCCAATATGGCGACTGCATGGGATTTGTCAGGTTTGCGAAACTTTGATCGGTATTCGGATCCAACTACATTATCTTTAAAGTAGTTCTCCACTCAGTCAAGCGTAACGTACCGACACGTATCAAAACACATTTAAATTTCAAACATTAGTGAATGTTGATTGGTTAGTACTTCCGTACTACACTAAAAAGTTGACTTGCGACGAACTTTTTATTTTGATACGCGAATTAACCGGAAGTACGTAAATTTGAAAACTCATCTTCAAGCTGCGCATGATCACCGATACGTTACGATACGACACGCTCGAAGTGGAAAATGGCCTATACCGTGCCGGGAAGATTTGTTACGGCGGTACAAACTGTTTCTGGTTGCTATTCATATTATAAAAAATGAACGATACTCGGAAACGTGCTCTATTGTTATATGCGTGGGGAAACAAAGTAGAAAAACATTTTGCAACGTTGTCTACATGAGGTAGGGGAAGACAAAGATTAGCGGTTGAAAAGCTGAATGAGTATTTTTTACCTCAGAAAAATGCGTTACTTGAAACCCATAAATTTCGCCAGTTAAAACAAATAACTGAGGAAACAATTGATCAACATTGTACCAGGCTTCGACAACAAGCCATCATCTGTGAATTCGCTAACAGTGAAAATGAGATTAATCCAGCTTGTTGAAGGATGTTTATCATCGCGAGTGTGAAGAAAAGCCATTCAGGATGATTTATCATTAGTAAACATATTATAGCATATGCAAGCTCTCTTGAAATAACTACGGTGGGCCATATGGGCCAACCCTTCTCCGTAGAAACTTGCACCTTCTCCGCACAAATGTGTTGTTATTCCATGGAAATCAAACTTCTCCGTGGAATATTGCCGTTGTTCTGTCACGGAAAGCCTTTTGTACGTAGAAATATGCAGTTTCTCCGTGGAAACACGCATCTTCTCCGCGGAAACACGCATCTTCTCCGCGGAAACACGCAGCTTTTCTGTGGAAACACGCAGCTTCTCCGCGGAAACGCGTAGCATTTATGTGAAACACGATGCGGTGGCCCGAACGGGGCACCTCTTCTCCGCAGAAACATGCAGCTTCTCTGTAGAAACGTGTGCATGCCTTAATTCTCCGTGGATGAGCAATTTCCTTGTGAATTAAAAAAGGCACGCCCCCCTGAATATTTACTGGTTTTATAAGGGGGGAGGAAGAGAAAATAAAGTCACAAGTCAACATCGTGGTCAAAACATTAGAAGCCAATTTTATAAATATGAATGCTTTAATATGGGCACAGATATCCAGCATATATAGATTGTGAGAATTGCCTGCAGGCAGAGATTTTGATCGTTTATAGCTTTTGTAACAATCGTGGAAATATAGATACGTACTACAAAGTTTTCTTTTTTATATTTATGTTATCATTTTTATTTGTGTATATTTTTATAAATTGAATATTTGTATATCCATACCTACACTAGTGGATCCGCATACGAGACTGACTGACAGATTAATAGAGTGTATATTTAAATATTCAATTTATAAAAAATATAAATCCACAAATAAAAATGATAACATGAATATAAAAAAGTAAACTTTATGGTACGTATCTATTTCTACGATTGTTACAAAAGCTATAAACGATCAAAATCTCTGCCTGCAGGCAATTCTCACAATTTATATGCTGGATATCTGTGCCCATATTAAAGCATTCATATTTATAAAATTGGCTTGTAATGTTTTGACCACGATGTTGACTTGTGACTTTATTTTCTCTTCCTCCCTCCCCCCCCCCGTCGTATAAAACCAATAAATATTCAGGGGGCGTGCCTTTTTTAATTCACAAGGAAAGTGCTCATCCACGGAGAAGGCACGTGTTTCTACGGAGAAGCTGCATGTTCCTGCGGAGAGGAGGTGCCCCGTTCGGGCCACAGCATTGTGTTTCACATAAATGCTACGCGTTTCCGCGGAGAAGCTGCGGAGTTTCTACAGAAAAGCGGCGTGTTTCCACGGAGAAGATACGTCTTTCCACAGAGAAACTGCGTATTTCTACGGAGAAAAGGCTTTCCGTGACAGAACAACGGCAATATTCCACGGAGAAGTTTGATTTCCATGGAATAACAACACATTTATACGGAGAAGATGCAAGTTTCTACGGAGAAGGGTTGGCCCGTATGGGCCACCGTAAATAACAGATAAAGCTGTCAAATCATTAGAAAAAGACTGTGGGCATTTAGCTCCTTCCTCGAGTGCGGTTATAATGCTATACGTAACCAACAAGAAAAGCTGGGTCAGTATCATGAATGAACGAACAGACACATCAAGCAGCAATCTAATATCGATCTTCCAACCAATCGATATACCTTCCAATTAAATCAAGAATGCTGGCTGCGAAAATTCACATGAGCAGCAACAGAATAGTAAGAAACTGGCTACGTTATAATTATGGTGAAAATTATTATGCAGGTCATCTTAGTGTGTGTAGAGGCTACGGGAAAATCTTGTTT